AAATCAAATCTCGAAATCCAAATATAAAAATAATGAAAAGAAAAACGTCATTTGTGAAACATAGTTTATATTTTGGCCCACCAAAGACAATTTCCCTTTCTCTCTTCCCCCACCCCTACCCTACACGAGAAGGTGTCGTAACATTGAGTTGGTCCTTTATGCTCCGTTTAGCGTGTAGAATGGGTAGTAAATGATTTCAAATTCCAAGATTTTATGCTCCGTTTCGTCGTGTAGAATGGGTAGTAAATGATTTCAAATTCCAAGATTTTAAGTTATGGAAATGATTTCGAATTCCTATTGCGTTTGGAACAAGGATTCTAAATTCTTTTGTTGTTSAAAAGAAATGAAAAGAAAGTATAACATTTTACTATTATATCCTTAATAATTTACCGCATATTTATTATGTCTTCCTTTCCAATGTAGAGAATTTGTGAATTGCTTAATGAATGCTAAAGCAAGCTACAACACAAGTATGCCTCATATCTTGGCTTAAAAAATATTAGCGTTTCGTTTCTAACTCTTGTTTCATGTCAAATCCGATAAAACTTTATTTTGGGTTTATACAGATCTCTTTAACTTCTTATCTTAAGCATCATTGACGTATGTTAAGTTATATTTGCTAGTTTTCACTGTATTCAAAGAAATGCAAACAAAAAAAACTTAATTGTTATTTTTCTCCTTAAAAAATTTAATGAATAATAAAATTGGAAACGAAAAAAAAAATTACAAACCAAAAACACATATGAAAATCATTTTCACCTCAATTTAGCAACAATGTTTTTTTTTATATCTTTTTTTTTAATCATAGTTAGTTATTTTACGATAGACAATGCTAGAAAAAAAAAGCAAAATGAGGAAAGAAGAAAAATGTATCAAAAAACCATAAACAAGATCCAAGCAATAATTAAATAGAAGGAAAATTAAATACACTAGAACAGAAGAGAAAACCAACAAGGAGCTTAGATGATGCAAAGAAAAAAAATGTCTACCTTGCAGAGATTTAAATTATAGTTATTAAAATAAAGAGAACTATTATAATAAAGAAAACTATATAGGATAAAGAAAAAATTTAAAACAAATCTTGGGTTTGATGATCTGCAGAGAGTTTTGCGTAGAAGAGAATCTTTACCGGTGTAGGTTGCATAGAAGAGAATCTTTAACGGTGTAGTTAAGTTATAAGGGAAAATTTAAATTGTTATTTTTTTCTCCTAAAAAACAGGGTAAAATAGAGATTTGTTACAAGAATCTCCAAAAATCTGATATATATGGAATGTAAAGTAAAAGAAAAAACGGGATTTGAAATTATTTGGGATTTCAAATTCTTCTCAATTTTTTTTTTTTATCAAAACACTGAAAATGATTTCAAAATCTACTCTCCAAATTAGAGATTCCAAACATGGGGTTAAGGTTTGAAATCGTGTACGAACAAGTATTTGGTGAGAGCATCAGCAACGACCTGAGCGAAAGAAGGAAGATGCTAAACTCGAATCTTTCACAATCATCATAGGAGATCTGATAAAGAAACTATCTCAATTATCCATGAGAACTCCCCTATTTAAAATGAACCCCACAACAATAACAAGAATAACCTCAATGAACCAACCTCAAGAAAGAAAGCTAAACAGATTTGTGCTTGGAAAAGATGAAATTGATCAAACTAGATTGAAAGTTCTAAAACATGCATTCTGCCTCAAATGTTGTGTTTTGAAAAGCAAATATACATCCCTATTTATAATAATTGAAAAGACATAACTCTGGGATGAAAATACACAACCCTTGAAAAATACAATAAATTAAATATGTGGATGAATGTGGATTTTTAGATTCATAAAATTTCTTGGAGGACAAGATGTCTTTTCAAGCTTGAAGGGAGGTAACACTTCACCAAGTGTGAACACCTTAACTTGAAACTGATCATTCAACCCTTTTTGTATTCTTTTAGCTCTAGCTCTTGTGATTGGACATTGTGATATAATGATTGGGTTGAGTTTAAACATAAGCTTCATTTGAGTTTGATTTGAGTTTTTGCTCCTCTTGTAGGCTTTCCTACACTCTGTGATCACTCATTTCTATATTAGATCTCGAATGAAATAGATGTCGATTTCACATACTTCGTTCGAGATTAAAGCACAAGGTTTACACTGAGATGCACAAAGTTGAGGTTGTCACACCAGATGACTGATTGTTGCGAGATGGCGACGTGGAGCTCAGTAAGAGAAATTTCAGCCATATGAGTTCAGAGGCTGCAAGTGTCAAAGCACAGTATT